GGCATATAAAGTCAAGAACAAAGCCACATGAAAGAGTTAATTATTCATCGAATCTAAAAACATAAATGTATGTGTTGACTAATTATTGACAAGATGAATCTCTCTAATTGGCATGGGGATAGGAGTGGGGGATTTGTGTCTCATGAATTAATCAATGATAATTGCATGTTGTTCTATTATGGTCCATGCCGATCGATTGATAATCTAAATTGTTACCATTCGAGCGTTCCATTTGCTTAGAGATAAGGTCTTTTTTAATACATTGTTCTCGTCATACCCTTGGTATTCTTGCTATCTGTATAACATTTTATTGGCTCTTGGTCATAATCGCTTCTCTCGTTGGAGTTCATTAATGTTTGTCCATAACCCATTTCTGATAAGTCTAATCCTGTCGATATTGCCATGCATGGAATTTCAAAACGCACGGCCTGCATAACAAAGGTCTTGAGATGGTGGTTTGAATTATATAAAAAAAATGAAGTATTATTGCACCATTTAAGGCTTATGGTTCTTGAGACTCAATTAATAATATGTTAAGAATGAAAAGAATATGGAATAATAGAAAAACAACTCAATAAAACAAATAGATGAAGACATCACACAAGCGTTAGAATAGGAATCCAAGGAGTCTGTATGGATTTTTACTTTTTCTTGCTTTGGAAGACTGCTTGTGATCTTCTGAATTTGAATGGCTAAATCTCATAGTTCAGTTAAACAATTAAATTATAATTAAAGATATCATTAATTCCACGTCAATTAAATATCGTAATTACAACAAATATATAACGATTCGACTCTCTTTTTGACAAGTTAACATTCAAGGTTGATGTTTTTAAATGAGAACCTCGGCTGAACATTCCTACGTGCGTGTCTGGGAATGCTTCTTCCCCAAATTTTGAGCAAATTTTTGTACCATTGCCAAAGTGATGTGACTCCCCATGTGAGTAGGAAGATGGTGTTGCAATGGTCAGAAAAGTAGAAAAAAAGCATGTAAAAATCAGAAAAAGACAGGGCTATGTTATTTAAATTTTGTCTGTAATGTCGTACTAAACAGCCCTTCAATATTACTTTTATTTGAGACTTAACTCATGTACACAAGTGTTACTGCATAGAGATTATTAAATGCAATCTCATCTATTGTACCTACTGGCTACTGCCTACATAATATCAGTTTGATAAACCATACATTCTACAATTAAGAAATAATTACTAATAATAATTATTCTGGACTAATAAACAAAAATAAAGAATCATAAATGTGCACCTGCTCATTTATTTAATTGTCGGGAGTGGCTATCCTTTTTACGCCAACCAGTCCGTTTAAGTTTTCCTTAATTTTAAATCATATATTATTTGAATTATTATCAAGATTTATTTTGGACCACTTTGCATTAATTAATTAACATCATTTTCGTGTTATCTCAAACTGGCTCCTTAATTTTCCTTAATTCAAAATTATGTAGCACAAGGGAAAATGATAAACAACCAGACTCGAAAATAGGGAACAAAAAACAAACTGATGTGACAGCAAGTTGTTGGATTTTATTTATTTATTATTTTTTAAAATTTTTCAAACTTTCCAATTAGGCATCAACAAGTGTGCAGCTGATCTTAACCCTGTTTTTCAGCCTGTTTCTGTAGCATTTCTCCACAACAATTCTTTTAAGAAAAAAAAAACTTGAAAAGGCTATCACAGGAAGCCTACCCATCTTTTAGAGTAACATCCGATACAACCTGTATCTTTACACGTATTACGGAGATTGCAAACCTACAATTACACATCTATCATAAACTCTTCAACTGGACTCAACTTATACTATAATATAAATTTATAAGCAAGACTTACTATATCCATGTGAGTTATCTCCCCTATCTCTATAAATATGAAGGAATAATATAAATTTATGATACTGATATTGAATAACTTTACTTAATAGATATTGAAACACCTCTATAAAGAAACATACCATTAGTTGTTGTGCATATAGTTTCAATAACATCAACGTAGTGTGTCCAAAAGAGTACTAACAAGTATGCTAAAACACTGTTAGGCTCATGGCAAATGTTTATAATTGAGGTGTGAAGTTAGAACGAGAAAGTTAAAAGGATATGGGTTTTATAATTCAAGTGATGTTAACTGTTTTTCTATTCGTTTTTTTTTTTTTTTTACATCAAACTCTACTCTCCCAAATTATTTTGACTCTTTTATTTTAAATATTTTTAAATGTCAGTGTCTTGAGTAATTTCACTGATATTTGATTGTGCTTTAAAGTTAAATTTTATAGAGTAAATAAATAAATAAACATTCGATAATATAATTACGAGTATAGTTAACTAATTTTTTAATAAAAACCGAACATGCAATCATTCCTTGATGGAACCTGCTATAGTGACATGGCCAAATGACCCTATCTGATTGGCAAAACTCTTCCTTGATTATTGCGCATGGATCTTCAATCATAGGTCAGGTTGACAAAAAAGAGTACTAGCAAAGTAGCCTAACATTCTAGGCTAATTAGGCTCAATGCATATGTTTCCATTTGGTTGGATTGTGCTTTTACTCCTATTTTTTCATATTATTTTTTATTCATTCAAGTCATGTCAATGGAAATTTATTCATAGTGAGGAAAAAAGAGCGTTAAATTTGAAAGAAAAAAACTGCAAGAACTTATAGTCCTTGTTTGAGTCTCATTTTTGCCAAAAAAAATGTATTTTTGAACAGTGTAATGATGTAAAATGTGTGATTAAAAAATAAGAAAAATTTTTAAATTTTCGTGTAATATTATTTTATTGAAGAATGTGTGGTTGAAATAATGTCAAAACACTGTTTAAGAATGTATTTTTTTCGAAAAAAAATGGGGCTCAAACAAGGCCATAGTGTTTGTTTGAGTATCTACTTATTATCTCAAAATGTGAATATTCTCATACAAAATAGAAAAGTATTTAAAGGTTAGCTAAGAAAAGTTAGGTTGATTTTGAATGTATCCATTTCAAGGTGAGAAATGAAAATAAGAGTGAAAAGGTATTCGGTTATAAAATTGCATATGTAACATTTAAGGAATTAGGTGAAGTACTAACATCACATACCCTGTTTCTTAGGGCATTGTCTCTCAAGTTAATTAATATTCTATTTTTTTTTTAAATAATTGCTCAATTTATTGAATGAAGGTTCAAAAAATGATATATATCAATGACGCCTAGTAATGTTACGATCCAAAAATGTTGAGAGATTAGAACTCATTGATATCAAATATAGGACGTTGAAATCCCCGTTTCATTTCGCAGAAATAACAATTAATTTAACATTTTAGTTCGTTTCATCATGGTAATGTTAAATACTAAATTTTGTTAGCATATATTTGATTTTATATATAATTTAACAGATATTGTAGTGTATACGGGTAATTCAACAACGACTACAAAAATTAAATGGCATATTTCTACTTCTCTTTAACGGGTGCATTTGGCATGGCATGACACATCAAATGGTTTCGGACAGTGCTGCCTACAGCTCTAAGTCAAATTAAAATAATATATTTAATTGTCGGTGGCATGCAATTATTTCTGCAGAAATTGGTTACACTGTTTTCTCCAAGTATTTATAATTTTTAATTCATGAATTCTGGATAACAATAAATTCTGGTTAACGTGAAGACATTAAGTGGAGTGAGCCGCTCTCTTCGCAAATAAATCAAGTTGGCTCGACTCGCATTCGAGGCGAGCAGCAAAAAAATTCGTGCGAGCTGCTCATCAACTTGTACAAATTGGCTCATAAGCCGGGGTTTTTTTTAAAACAAATGCCTCGTATGCGAGCGCGAGCTAATTATGGACAAGAAACAATTAATATTCCTTTCCTTCATAATTATTTTCAAGCATCGTATCGAATATGCCGTTGTTGCCTTTTGATCTAATTATGCTTCAATCTTGACAATTTTGTGCAACCCTAATTATCTATTCTAGAATTTGAAGACAAAATCGTCCTAACCTAATGACGATGACTAGAAATGATTACAACAAGCAATCATACGATTTTCCCACTAAAAACTATATAATTAAATTAATCTCAACTTAGTATACTCATTATAAACACACTTAAAGTCCTCACTAAAAGTTAGTAAAGGATAATTCTAACATTTCTTAAAACAGGATAAGATTGTTTCCCACTACTAAAAAAATTATTACTTATCTTCAGACAATCAATCCAATAATATTTCAGAAACAAATTAGAATCTAGTGGTCCATTTTAGACTACAAATTTCTTGATGAAATAAATAAAAACAAAAAAAAGTCAGATCCCGAAGAAGAAACCAAAGGGAAAAGTTCAAGAAACTGAAAGAGAAACGCACTATACTTCAAATCTGCACACTGCTCTCTACTCTGGTATCAATCTAAATGCTCAAGTAGAAGCCAGCTAATACCCTCGACAAGACTTTACACCAACCCCCACCCCACTCACCATCTAGGTTGTGACAAATTAAACCGCTAACCCCTATACCACAGTACTCGATTTGAAATTTTGAAGTGATTCACCTTCGATCCAGGATATACGTTCACTCTCGTCACCATGAGATACTAAGATGCAAGAGTTAAAAATCTGACATTGAAATACTATGTACGAATGGTATAAACTATCCAAACAAGAATTCTTGAACATTAAACTGCCAATTCAGATATTTTACTACTAAAAAAGTACGAATTCTCTTTTGGATAAGTACTTAAAGGAGAAGGAATACTCTAATATTAACAAACAATATACGAGAATTTTCACTTTATTGAAGATCTAGTGGCGCTACCTGAAAACTTAAGTGACGGCTAACATATTTGGTACAATAAAAAAAATTTAAATCGGGCTGTAATCATAATAACTAACGGTACGATTAAACGTTACAGGTCGAGTCCACATCGACCCCACACCAAGGACACCCAACATTCGTCCACCCTCAAAATATGTACTAATAAATGTATATAATATTGTGTATATATATCACTATGTTCTTGGCCTATTCATATATTCACCTTTAGCTTTACACACTAGATTCTCCTCTCTCTCTAGCAAACAACGATGAACTACGGCAGGCTCGGATTAACAGACCCTGATGGCTCGTCAAGACGAAGCATTTCAAACGAACCCCATTCACACACAAGAAAATGCAAACTCAAATTTCTTTTGATCGTGGCGGCGATTCTTATTGTAGCTTCCGCCATTTCTGCTGCAATGCTAGTGGTGCTACGAAAGAATGCAGGCTTGGCGGAGACTCGGCTTAGGCGGCCCTCCCAAGCCATATCGCGAATCTGTGGCCAAACTAGGTACTGATAATTATCTCATGATCTAAAAGCTTAATTTATCAACCTTTGTGGAAGTTGGGTTTATTTTTATTTTTATCGAAAGTCTAATATGTGCACAATTTTTGTTAGGTCCCGATCTCTCTGTGTCAACTCGCTCCTCGACTTCCCCGGAGCCAGCACCGCCTCCGACAAGGATCTCGTCCACATTACAGTGAATATGACTCTGCAACACTTCGGCCGGGCACTCTACGTCGCCTCTGAAATCAGTAATGTGGACATGGACTTACATGTGAGGTCGGCCTACGAGGACTGTATGGAGCTCCTTGATGACTCCGTGGATCTTCTATCTCGTTCACTCGCCTCCGTCAGTAGCTCCGTCGGGTCGACTCAGGACATCATGACGTGGGTCAGTGCCGCCTTGACCAACCATGATACTTGTAGTGATGGGTTCGAACAATTAAATGGCTACGTAAAAAACCAAATGTTGGACAGATTAAAGAATTTATCGGAACTTGTAAGTAGTTGTCTGGCGATTTTCGCCGCCGTCGGCAGAAACAAGGATTTTTCTGGTGTACCGATACAGAATAAGCGGAGGCGATTATTGAATTCCGACAATGAAGAACATGGGAAATTTCCGAAATGTTTATCTGGGAGAGATCGAAGGCTACTCTTTATGCCTGCGTCGGCCATCCAGGCTGATATAATCGTGTCTAAAGATGGCAATGGTACGTTCAAGACGATAGCCGAGGCGATCAAGAAGGCGCCGGAGTACAGTAATCGCCGATTCATAATCTACGTGAAGGCAGGAAAGTAAGTTCACGTTCAGTTAAAAAAGTGAAAAGTACTTTTTTCTAAAATAATTGGCATCTACGTGTTTTCCTTTTCGAAGTGAAAATGAAATGATTTTTATGTCTCTTTCATTTGTCTTTTTCTTGCCTAGTTGGTCAGGGCATGTTGCTTTTCTTTGAGACCCTGTTTGGGAGTAATTTTGAGAATTGATTTTTTGATTGTTAGAATAAAAGTGGAATCCATATGTAAAAGAAAAAGTTAAATATGACGGCTGAAATAGTGAAATAACGATCAAAAAATTAATTTTTGGGTCAAAAAATCACTCCCAAACAGACTGTAACTCTGCATTGACATTCACTCGTAGAGTTGGATAAGAATAGACATGATTTAATTTTAATGTTTTTAATTAATATTCTACTATTTGTCAAATATATAACTCTTGTTTTGATTCCATTTTAATAATAAAAATTATAATTTAAAATAATGATTTTTTTTTTAAGAATGTGTGGTTCAAAAAAGGAAGAAATATTTTTAATTTATGTGTAATATTATTTTATTAAAGAATGCATCATAGGATAAAAGAAAGAAAAAAATACGTTAAAATTAAAATGGAGCACAAATAGGGGCATAGTCTAGAACATTTTTTTAATTACTATATCTACATGCATGAGTGTGCTTGGGATCACAATAATTTTTGGGTCGGATGAATACTTTTTGAAGGTACGAGGAAAAAGATTTGAAGGTGGGAAGGAAGAAGACGAATATAATGTTTATGGGCGACGGAAAGGGCAAAACAGTCATTTCCGGTGGAAGAAGTGTCCAAGATAACATAACAACATTCCACACCGCTTCATTTGGTAAATTACTTTGCTACCCTTTTTATTTATTTTTTCACTATTTCCATCTCACTATCACATTAATGGAATGAAGGTATAAACTAAAATAAGTAAAAAATTAACTCTTTTCAGCGGCAACTGGTGCTGGATTCATTGTGAAAGACATTACATTTGAAAACTATGCTGGGCCGCACAAGCATCAAGCGGTGGCGCTACGTGTGGGGGCCGACCACGCGGTGGTCTATAGATGCAATGTTATTGGATATCAAGACACGCTATATGTGCATTCACAGACACAATTTTATCGTGAGTGCGACATATATGGAACGGTGGACTTCATATTTGGCAATGCTGCAGTCGTGTTCCAAAACTGCACCATTCATGCCCGAAAGCCTCTTCCTCTTCAAAAGAACACCATCACCGCACAAAACCGCAAGGACCCTAACCAAAACACTGGCATTTCTATCCATGCTTGCAGAATCGTAGCAGAGCCCGACCTCAAGAACGAAAAGGGAGCATATCCCACATACTTAGGTCGCCCATGGAAATTGTACTCGCGGACTGTCTACATGCTGTCCAACTTGGGTGATCATATTCACCCAAGGGGATGGCTCGAGTGGAATGCAACTTTTGCACTTGACACATTGTACTATGGAGAGTATCAAAACTACGGTCCTGGCGCCGCAGTCGCGCAACGTGTGAAATGGCCGGGTTATAGTGTAATCACTTCCCCGGTCGTGGCCAGTCAATTCACAGTGGGGCAGTTTATTTATGGATCAGCCTGGTTGCCTAGTACTGGGGTGGCTTTCTTGGCAGGACTGTCTACTTAAGTGACATAAAGAATGATATAGGATTTATAATTTCTTCTCATGGTATATAAAAATATAATTATATTTATAGTCTTTCATTTTCATTTTCAATAAAGTTTTTAATTACTTGTTTTTGAAGTATAAAAACATCAATAAAAAATGTGGAATTTTTGAAACATTTGGGGCAATAATTATACGTTTTGATTTTCGGTCAACGGTGGGTGTGTGGATGTGAAATGTTTGCGTAAAATCTGTGGCAAAAATTTAATGCAATTCTGTCGGTGGGGTTTAATTTAAATCTAATAAATTAAATTAAATTCTTGGACCAACTCATATGCAACTCACATGATATGTGCACCCAACAAGCAAATCAAATGATATGAAGTCGAACAAAGATTTTTTCCAATTGAATGTCGATTAATGCAAGAACAATGTGAGAGTTTAGCGATGATAACATATAACTAAAAATGTCCTTAAATGGGAATACTAATTGATAGTAATAAGTTGTAAAGATTTTGTTGATTTGAATGGCGGTGAATAGGACAATGGGAGTGATAGGCAAGGTTGAGATATGACTAATAAATATTCTCAAATTGGATTGCAAGCTATAATTGACTGGCATCAAGTTGGAATCGATAGCAATAGCTCGTCAACCATGTGGGATTGAATTTGAATCAAAACCATTGGTGTTAAATTGGTCCTTGCCCTTTGGGTCCTATAATTAAAGGATGTGGATATTGCCAATGCCAGTTGGGGATTTGGGTGGACCTCTTGAAACTTGCACAAATTTGTTCAAAGACATATTTAATCTGATTTCTCTCTTTCAAATTGGTTCCATCAAGAAATGAGGGTCAAGTGGAATTCTAGTGTACCCTACTTGCATCGCTATGTCACATGGTTGTTGAATGGGATGAGCTTTTTGGATGGGTGATGAATAAATAAAAATTAATATTTGATAATATTTTTAATTTCACATGATCTACTAATGCTTTCGATGGCATCGAATACTGCATTTAGTGTGGATAGTAGGATTCTGTAATACAAAGAGAGGTTGGTGGAAGATATATTTGAATCTATAATGTGCTTGAATGATTGATAAGATGCAAACTACCGAATACTAAACAAATTGGCTAATACAATTGGTGAAGATTTTCAGCAATCATAATCTTCATGAAATTTTTGGTATACTAAGTTTTATATTTATTATTGTACATTGACATTTTATTTAATTCTGTTTAAAAAATTTGTACACGAAATGTTGATCAATTGTATAAAATTTACAACTTGTTAATTCCTAATGTGTGACATATTGGAGAAAAAAGTACTAGTAGAAATAGATTATCATAATTTCGGATTGAGCCCATAAGACCATTCTAGAAAGAGCATGACGAGAGGAACAATACTCATGGCTACGTCGTTAAGTACGATGAATTTCGGCCATTCAAGTTCGTTTAGAACTCGAAAACTAATTTTTAAAATATTGGCACCATTTTTATTAATTCGTTTATTTTAGGTTTTTTGCAATTTTAGTTTGTTTATACATTGTTTTCATTACTTTTAATTGTTTTAAACTATGTTTCTATTTAAACCCTTGTAAATAAGGGGTTAGTTCGTTTTTTTAATCATCATTCATCAATAAAATTTGTGAAATTTATTTTCTCCTTAATTTGGTGGATTCTAAATTTCGCGATGTCAAGGTTTTCGCTTGAATTCCTTTTTATCGTTGCGTCAATTCTTTTGACAAAATAGAACTTTTTACATTCCTTACTTCTTAAAAATTCACATCCTCATTGTACTTCGAAGAGTGAAAATGTAATTTTTAGTTGAGAAAAAAAAAATGAAGAGAAAAACACAAAAGACCTACTTGGCTTGCCTTAC